ATCCTCTTGGCTGGATGCCAGCGTGGTGATGGAAGTGGATGCCTTCAATGGCACTTCAGTCCTTCGAGCCAAGTAGGCCGGCAAGGTTGAGCCACCGTGATGGTGCGGTGTCCAAGATTTTCAGGTGCCTGTTGAGATTGGGGGGGGGCGGTCATTTTAAGGGGGATTCGTATTTTGGGGTATGAATGTGTGACCCTATTTTTGTGAAACTGCCAGGTGTCCCTGGCTTATGAAGTTTGATACTACCTGTTAACCTAAACCCTAAGCCCTAAACCCTCAACCCTAAACCCTCAACCCTCAACCCTAAACCCTAACCCTACACGCCTTAAAGCAAAAGACACCAAGTCTTGAGAGTAGGGCACGTCGGAATGGTCCTGAGCATCTACGATCCCGCCCCTAAGCTGCAAGCATTTCTGAATCAGCAGCCTTAGGATTCCTAAACCCTAAGCCCTGAACCCTAGTCCTTCTATACCTACGACATATCCAGGACCCTAAACCCTAAACCCTAAACCCCAAACCCTAAACCCTAAACCCTAAACCCTAAACCCCCAAACCTAAACCGGGGAGCTTGGGGGTTGGGGCTTGCGGGTTAAAGTTCGGAGGCTGAGGGGTTCAACGACCCTATAAAGCCTAAACCCAAAGTCGAGTAGGGTTTAGGGCTTTAAGTTCAGGGTCTAGGGTTTAGGGTTTAGGGTTTAGGGTTTAGGGTTTAGGGCTTAGGGTTTAGGGTTTAGGGTTTAGGGTTTAGGGTTTAGGGTTTAGGGTGTAGGGTGTAGGGTTTAGGGTTTAGGGTTTAGGGTTTAGGGTTTAGGGTTTAGGGTTTAGGGTTTAGGGTTTAGGGTTTAGGGTTTTGGGATGGGGTTGAGGGTGTAAAGGTAGTAGTCACGGCACCTTAACATGGTCCCTTACCCCCCTCAAAGGGTTCTGAACTCTGGGCCCTTGTGTAAGGGGTATATGAGGGGTCCTCATTTAGGGGGCCCATAGTAAGGGACCGTGTAGCTACCCTCTAAGACAAAACCCTACTTGGAAGCCCTTTTTGACTTAGTAAGCAGGGGTTATCAAGGTGGGTAATGGGGAATCTAATAGGGACTCTAGGGGTACTAAGTAGACTTACCAAGTCAAAAGAGCTTCTAGGCAACCCCTAACCCTAAACCCTAAAACCTAAACCCTAAGCTTCAAAGTAAGCTCTTCTTTGGATCTGAAGAAGCAGCACATCCGTCGTCATTGCCCTCGGCTTCCCTCTCACCTTGGTCTACGTCTTTACACATGAGCTGCACAGCCGTTTAGGAAGGACTGAAGAAACCCTATCTAAACCCTGAGCCCGAAATACCTCTTTACCACTAAACCATAAACCCTAAACCCTAAACCCTGAACCCTAAACCCTGAACCCTAAACCCTAAACCCTAAACCCTATGTAAACAAACCCTAGACCGTGCTTTGCAAAGGCAAGGCAACTCGAATGGCTCTGACCATCTCACATGTAACTTGTGTAGTCGGACCAAGGCATGTAGAAGTGTCCCAGAATATGAGGGTTTAGGGTTTAGGGTTTAGGGTATGGGGTTTAGGGTTTAGGGTTTAGGGTTTAGGGTTTAGGGTTTAGGGTTTAGGGTTTAGGGTTTAGGGTTTAGGGTTTAGGGTTTAGGGTTTAGGGTTTAGGGTTTAGGGTTTAGGGTTTAGGGCGCTCCAACTTTGGGGATCCTGAAAAAAGAAGATTATGCTGCATTTGCAAAGGCGAGGGCATCCCGCCTTGGGGCAAGTGTCCCACCAATCACACGAAGGGTGCGCGAAGGCGGAAACATCAACGCTTAAGGAGCACAAGGAGGGAACTCGATAAGGGACCCTTCGTCTTTTTCCCCCTATAGAACCCTTATGTATACCTTATATAGCCCCTATGTACCTAAGTCTTTTCCCCTGTCTAGCCCTTAGATGTATACCTTATATAGTCATAGTCCCTATGTACCTAAGTAGCCCCTAAACTAAGCCCCAGCGAACTCCTATGGTCCCTTATTAAGTCCTTTTTAGTCCCTTGAAAGGCGAAGATAGAGGAAGAGCGGAGGGGTTTCGAAGGGTCTTGGCATGAAGACGAAGCAACCTCCCCCCCCCCCCCCCCCCCCCCCCCCCAATGACTTTGCCTGGTCTTAGTAGGACATGTCCAAGAGTTATGTAGAATCCCTTGAAGGATTTTGGGGGGTTATGAGGCACCTACCTCCTCAATTCCCTAGGAAGAACGAACCCTAAACCCCAAAACCCTAAACCCTAAGCCCTAAACCCTAAACCCTAAAACCTAAACCCAAGTAGGGAGGCCCAAGGCCACGGCAGCTTACAGACGGCGTCCGCGGCGACCGCACTTGCGGCGGGTGCAGTCGGTGGGGATGGGGGTCACGTCCTGGCAACTTCTTTGGTTTTCAGGGTTTAGGGTTTAGGGTTTAGGATTTAGGGTTTAGGGTTCAGGGTTTGGGGTTTAGGGTTTAGGGTTTCGGCGTCAGGGTTCAGGGTTGAGGTTGGGAGTGCAGGGTTTGGAGTTTAGAATCAGTCGGACTTGCCCCCCCCAGCGGCCCTGAAAAGGGCATTGTATGGAAATCACGTTGAAGACGCCGCAAGTAAGTCGGAGGTTAAAGGTCTACTGAGAAGCTCTGTCGACTTAGTAGAGTCTACTTGGTACCCCCTAGAACCCTAGCCCCTAGTGTCATCCCCATAACCCACCATACTAACCCCCCTACATACGAAGTCAGAAGGGCCGGCAGCTTACGGTCTCCGAGTCTGGGGTTTGGCCCTAGTAGGCCACCATCGTGGTCTCCAGCGAAACCCAAATTGAAGCCACAAAACCCTAAGCCCTAACCTCCAGACCCAGAGGAACCGAACAGAAAGCCTAGCAACCCCGAACCGTAAGACCCAGAAAGCTCAGAGAACGCCACACCGAAACCCTCATTCCGAAACCCTAAATCTGAATCCGAAACCCGAGCCCTAAACCCTAAACCCTAAACCCCAAACCCCAAACCCCAAACCCTAACCCCTAAACCCCCGAACCCGGTGCCTCGATGCGGCCGATCTTCATCCCAGAGCGCGCCAGGGCGCGCAGGGCGCTCTGGGCACCGGGGCCTGGTGGTTTACGGTTTAGGGTTTAGGGTTTAGGGTTTAGGGTTTAGGGTTTAAGGATTGGGGTTTAGGGTTTGGGGTTTAGGGTTTAGGGTTTAGGGATTGGGGTTTCGGGTTTGGGGTTTCGGGTTTGGGGCTTGGGGTTTTGGGTTTGGGGTTTGGCGGTTTGGCGGTTTGGGGTTTGGCGGTTTGCTGGCAGCTTGGTGCTTGAGGCATCGTCGCGAACACTGGCGGCGCCCTCGGGAGTCCGTGTTGGCAGCCCTAAACCCTAAACCCTAAACCCTAAACCCCTCAAAGTAAGGGCACCCTGTTCTGCTTAAAGGGGTTAGGGCTCAGGGCTACATCAGTGCAAGGATGAGATGACCTAACCCGCCTGAAAAAGAGAATGAAGTCCCACACTGAGTCCTAGCTAGATCTCTACTATTTGCTTAAGACCCCCCCCCATTCAAAATATACAACGTTCTTCCTTATCGGGGTAATTTCGGAATTGTATGGGAGTATTGTGTTTCTTTGGGAATCTTGTTCCTTAGAAGGGTAATAAAGGGATCATGTGGGATTTCGGGTTTAGGGTTTAGTGTTCAGGGTTTATGGTTTATGGTTTAGGGTTTAATTAGGCTTTAGGGTTAGGGTTTTGGGGGGCTCGAAAGCAAATAGTGGATCTATAAGAGGCTTCTCAAGACCAGACCTCGCACAAAACCCTAACCTTAAACCCTAAACCCTAAACCCTAAACCCTAAACCCTAAACCCTAAACCCCAAACCCCAAACCCTAAACCCCAAGCCCTAGGAACTCTAGGAACCCCCATGGGACAAAGCCGGCACCTGGCGTGCGTGTCTTGGTGCCACCGGTGGCGCGGAGCTTGATGTGCAGCGCGCCGATACCCAGCTCCTGCTTCAGGGTTTAGGGTTTAGGAATTGGGGTTGATAGGGTTAAGGGTTAAGGGTTTAGGGTTTAGGGTTTAGGCTTTAGGGATTAGGATGAGTTTTTGCAGGGCTTATAGGGCGTATAGGCTTCATAGGGTTTACGGGGTTTATGTTTGCTGGGTTTATGGGTGTTTGTAAGGTTTATCGGTTTTTCATTGGGCCTAGGGTGTAATTATAGGGATTAGTCATTGATTGGGGCAATATGTATACGTAGCGTCGCCCAGTTCTAGCTGGTACAACCCTAAGCCCTAAACCTGAACCGTGTTTCCTGAACCTAACCCTGAACCGCAAACCCTAACCTTCTTTTGAGGGGGTACATGTGTAACCCCACATCTAGCTATCCCTGAGAGCCACAAGTGCTCTCCTGTCTTTAAGAGGGCTTAGTTTCGTGGGAGTCGGGTTGAGGGGCAAGGGTTGCGGGTTCAAAGGGTTGAGGGTTGAGCGCTTAGTTTCCCGAAGCAGGGCGGGTAGCCCTTAAAACCCCAAGAGGAGTAAAGTAGGAGAGAACTACCCAAATTTTAGGGCTTGGTAAACCCTAAACCCTAAGCCCGAAACCCTAAACCCTAAACCCAAAACCCTAAACCCTAAAACCCTAAACCCTAAACCTTCTGGTTGTTTGGCACTGGTTCGGGGGTTCAGGTGCCAACGGAGGCTCGGGAGATCAGATGTCTTTCTTGCAGCACAAAACCTCAAGCGATATGGGGGTTTCCGAGAATTGGGGGGTACCCTTTTGGGAGTCCCTGATAAGGGGATTCTGTTCTATTTTTTGGTATAGAAGGGGTACCCCTCATGTCGGAAACCCGCGTGTGCAAACGTCAGAGGAGGATATCGGAGCCGCAACGGCGTGTTCAAAACGATGATTGTCACCAGGTTCTTCCGCAAACCATGTTCCAACTTTGTGGAGTTTACGGTGCTGGTGTCGGCCTCAACCCTAAACCCTCAACCCTAAACCCTAAACCCTAAACCCTAAACCGTGTGGGCCTCAATCGGATCTGCTGGTTTCGGGCTGGGCATGCCCAGTGGTCGTTTTCGCCTTCGCCTCCGGCCCGTCGTCCGGCCCTGACTGGAGGATGGCGTAGAGCATCAGGCACGCGCCAATGACATGGCACATCACCTGCTATTTGCTTAAGAGAGCCCACCAAAAACCAAGAATCATAATCCCTACATTGCCGTTTTAAGGAAGAATGTGTTCATTTGTGGGGGGGGGCCCTTGACAACCCTCTGAAGAAAGATTCCCGAAGATGATCCTCTTCTAAACCCAACAAAAAGGTGAAAGATATCAAAATGTCCCAAGGGCCTATACCGAGTCACTGGGAAGCTTGCGTATCGGCACAGAGAGCTGCCTACACAGGGCCCAAAAACATAGGCGGCCTGGTCTGCCGTGCTGGAGAGAACAAAGACCTGACCCGTGCCGTCGTACTTCTCCTGGCTTCGATTGGCCAACATGGCTGCCACGTTTCCATTTAACAAGCCGGACGCAAAGCTGGTACCAAGCAGGGTGAGAGCCAGAAAAATGTAGTGGGAGCCGAAATGCACCAGCGCAGTTCCCCCACTCAGGAGAACCGCGGAAGTCTGCAATGTCTTGCCATCTGCAACCGACCGGAGCGCGGGAACAAGGTTCACAGAGATCACGCCCGGAATTGTAACCATCAGCCATGTAAGGCTCTGCTTCACATGATCATATCCCAGGCTTGTCATGTACTCCCAAGCTGTGGCATTCACCGCAGCCTCCGCGGCTATGCCTAGGAAGAGGGCAACGGTTGGTCTTCTGATTCCTGGGTCCATGATTAGCTCTAGCATGCCAACCTGCTCCACTTGCTCGGTCGGTTTCGGCATGGGCTCTTCAAGCTGCGACAGTTCGGGCAATCGGAAGTGAAGCGTCAACCACGTACACATCTGCACGCCAGTGAGGAGGAGAAACATCAGACGCGAGTCCTTGGCTGACTTCTGAAGCCCCTCCTAAAAGTCTTTAACTTTCGGGCTCCTTGTTGTAGTTTCCTACAAAACCCCAAAAAGTTAAAGTCCTGAGAGCCAGCCAGAAGAAAGCCAAGAGTCGTCAACAAATATGCCAGCAACTTGGGGACCAGCCACCATCCCGGCGTAAAGGCCCGCCATGGCCGTAGACACAGCCTTGACGCGGGCGGTTGCGTCGCTGGCGTACACGCGGTTGAGATACGCAAAGCCTCCCCAAACAATGGCCGCTGTGGAGAAGCCGCTCAGGGTGCGCATCGCCAGCCACAAGGCGTAGCTCTCCTTCAGGGCATAGCCCAGGCTGCAGAGCACGGCACACAGCATCCCCAGCCGCAGGGATTTCGCCTCACGCCCATCGATGAGCCTTCCAAGGAAGGGAACCAGCAAGCAAGCCACGACATTCCTTGGCTGCACTTAGCAGGGTAGCTATAAAATTCAATTTTTAGCTACCTTGTGAAGAAACCCAATAAACCCACAAAAAAGGCTATAAAATCTAAAGTTACAGTATTTCGCACCAAGAAGAGATTCTTGGAACCTTGCAGCACTGCAATCAGCTGGTAGTTCGGCGTGACGGTCGGTGTCAACGGCCAGAGGCCTGTGGTCATGAAGTGGTCCAGGAAGGTTGCTATGCCCACCAGGATGTCAAGGCTGGCGCACTTGAGCACTAGAAGGAAACACAACCTTAGCTGCTGAGTTCATAAGCCCCCCAAAACCATGTACACTGTCAGTTCTATAGGGGGATGATCGTATCCCAAAAAGTGTACCGTGTACTCATTCAGCTAAGCAACAGAAAAAGGATCCCACCCGCAACGCAAAGAACCTCTGGGGCCTGTTGCGACTGCACCGCTTGCGCGGGCGCCACGCGGAACTGCGTTGCACTTGTGCCACTTGGCCCCCTTCTCTTCACTCCTAGGATGGCCCTTAAAGTTTACCCCCTGTTTAGGGTTTAGGGTTTAAGGTTTAGGGTTTAGGGCGTAGGGTTTAGGGTTTAGGGTTTAGGGTTTAGGGTTTAGGGGCATCCTGTTAAACCCAATAAGGGAAAAGCATGAAGTGTCCCAAAGGCCTACTGAGAATCTGATAACGTCTGTCTGGAGCAGCTCCATCGCAGTTCTCCTGCGATGCCAGCTGTCCACAGAGACGTCCAGGCACTTTGAAGCATTGACCCCCATCCTATACTGAACTTCGAGCCCTAGCAAAAATTTGATTTCTATGCTGTTTTTTAAGAATTTTAATTTAGAGTACCCAAAAATTAACTTTTATGCTGTTTCTTAGGAATTAAAATTTATAGTACCCAAAATTAACCACTATTTCCAAGTACCCCTAAGCATCATGCTTGTCACAACGCTGGCATCACCGGAGCTGCATGGGGCGGCGCCGGTATAGGCACCTAGACACTGGAGTAACTTAGGAATAAAAAAAGGCAGCCTTGTTGGTTTAAAGGGGATCATAAGGGAACCCTCACCCCCCAACAAGGGCCTACTCCCTAAACCCTAAACCCCAAACCCTTAATCCAAGTAATTGGGGCAGGTCCTAGGCACTGAGAAGCAGAAGCCCCAGCAGCGTGAACCGAAGATGGGCCATGGCCGAGGGAAGTCCGGAAAATCAAGACGCGCGCTTTTGCGCGCGCAAAGATGTCCCTGCTGAAGGACCAAATGAACCTTAAAGGGTTTATGGTTCATATACCTCAATGGGGACTATAGTAGTACCCGGTATATGGCCCCAATTTAAAGGTTCATGTGGTCCCCAAGGCCGGCATCTTCTCTTCTTAGCCCTCTATTCTGCTCTGCTTCTGTTTCGGGTTTAGGGTTTAGGGTTAAGGTTTAGGGTATAGCGTTTAGAGTTTAGGTTTAGGGTTTAGGGTTTAGGGTTTAGGGTTTAGGGTTTAGGGTTTAGGGTTTAGGGTTTAGGGTTTAGGGTTTAGGGTTTAGGGTTTAGGGTTTAGGGTTTAGGGTTTAGGGTTTAGGGTTTAGGGTTTAGGGTTTAGCCGACTAGCCATCGCCTGTTTCTTCGCATGTTCTGAATTTCGGCGTTCTTGTTCCTGGAAACAGTCAGCAATCCACCATGAAGCGGCATTTCCCTTTCTAAGGAATCCCCAAGCTGGCACCGTATAATAGACAAGCTAATGTAAGGAGTTGCCGGTGGGCGGCTTCGACTTAGGGCAGCCAGTATAAGGCCAGATAAACCCTAAACCCTAAACCCTAAACCCTAAACCCTAAACCCTAAACCCTAAACCCTAAACCCTAAACCCCAAGACGCTTCTCAACCAAAGGGCATTAAGAGCTGCCGGGCTTAACACCATGGCTTGGGAGACCTGGCTGCGCGACCCCTACAGGGGTTTAATCACCCGAAACCCCAAACCACCCAACTAGACCCAAAGCCCTAAACCGTAAACCCTAAACCCTAGCCCTAAACCCTAAACCCTAAACCCTAAACCCTAGCCCTAAACCCTAAACCCTAAACCCGAAACCCGAAACCCCAAATCCTAAACCATAACCTCCCTTGAGCCTTACACGCCTGCACCCCTCAAACCCGAGAAACCCTGAGCTCCCAGCCCCAGAGGTGCCAAGTCGGCCCATGAAACCCTCAGAATGGATATTCCGCAACAATATTCTCTCAAACCCAATGGGGGTTTAAATTTAGGGTTTAGGGTTTAGGGTTTAGGGTTTAGGGTTTAGGGTTTAGGGTTTAGGGTTTAGGGCTTAGGGTTTAGGGTTTAGGGTTTAGGGTTTAGGGTTTAGGCTTCGGGCTTCGGGCTTAGGGATCCTCAGCCCTAAGTACGCAAGCCCCGAGCCCATGCCTTGCAGCGGGCGGCCACATCCTGCGCCGCCAGCATCGCCGCGTACGGGGAAGACCTGACTGCTGACTTCGGGGGGTTTGGGGGGTTTGAGGGTCTGAAGGGTTGGGGGGGTTTGGGGGTTTGGGGGGTTAAGGGGGGTTTGGGGGTGTTTGGCGGGTTTGGGGGGTTTGGGGGTGTCTGGGGTGTTTGATTGGTTTGGGGGGTGTTTGGGGTATTTGGGCTGCGTTTCGGGTGTTCGGCGGGTGTTTGGGGTGTTCGGGGGGTTTGGGGGACTTGGGGGATTTGGGGTTTAGGGAGGTGGATGAGGGTTTGGGGGTTTACTTTCAGGGTGAAGTGTTTAAGGCCCTGTGGGGGTCTAGGGACCCTAAACCCTAAACCCCGTCAGCTGCAGTCAGAGGTTACTCATGCTGCACCTCAGTTGCAAGGTGAACCGGCTGTGAAGAGTAGCCTCCTCAGACCCTTGACGGTCCAAACCCCAAACCCCAAACCCTAAACCCGAAACCCTGAACCCCCGGTTCAGTCAGGTACAGCTACTACACGGCCTAAACCCAAAAGCCTGTCAGTTTAGGGCTTCGGGCTTAAGGTTTAGCGTTTGGGTTGAGGAGCCCTAAACCCTTCTGCCCAGGGCCGGGCTCATCGCGATCCGCCTTCACCTGACCAATTGGCAAGGGGTTCTCCCAGCCGGTGGCGTGTTTTGTCTTGTTTAGGGTTGGGGGGCTTAGCGGCATCACCCCTAAACCCTAAACCCTAAACCACTTAACCTTCGCCAACTGTGCCTTCATGCCGCCCGTCACGCGCATGATGGTCTCCCGGCCGGAGAGGTCGGTGACCTGAGTTGTTGAGGGTTCAGGGTTCAGGGTTCAGGGGTTAGGGTTTAGGGTTTAGGGTTTAGGGTTTAGGGTTTCGGGTTTAGGGTTTAGGGTTTAGGGTTTAGGGTTTAGGGTTTAGGGTTTAGGGTTTAGGGTTTAGGGTTTAGGGTTTAGGGTTTAGGGTTTAGGGTTTAGGGTTCAGGGTTTAGGGTTTAGGCCCAGCCGTGCTGCAGTGTCTGAAATGATTCCGAGCTGAGAGCCCCTGAAGGCCTGAAGCCCTAAACCCCAAACCCTAAACCCCAAACCATCCTTCAGCCCAAAACGGGGAAGCTTCTTAAGCTAAACCCTAAACCCTACACCCCAAACCCCAAACCCCAAACCCCAAACCCCAAACCCTAAACCCTAAACCCTGAACCCTATATAAACCCTACACCCTAAACCGAAGACTCTACGCCGCTAAGCGCCCCCCCCCCCCCCGGTTCAGCTCCAGCTAGGCCGAAGGCGTGGACGAAGGTGTCGTTGAAGGAGGCATAGATGTGGGCCACACCTTGCTGGCTTCGTAGGCTTTTGCGGGATAGGGTAGGTTTGGGGGTTGAGAGGGTTGAGAGGGTTGAGAGGGTTGAGAGGGTTGAGAGGGTTGAGAGGGTTGAGAGGGTTGAGAGGGTTGAGAGGGTTGAGAGGGTTGAGAGGGTTGAGAGGGTTGACAGGGTTGAGAGGGTTGAGAGGGTTGAGAGGGTTGGAGAGGGTTTAGCTGTAGGGATGAGGACTGAAGGTGCCAAGCCAGACCCGAAAAAGAATAAACCTCCCAAAGCCAAAGCTGGTCAAGGATTTTGCATTGCGACACTGTCATGGGTTTCCCTTCTACCCCCCTCTATACTAGCCACCCCCCTTGAATACCCTTAGTTATGGGGGGGAACCTAGGGGGGGGGGGGGGCGGCAGTATAGAGGGGTAGTAGGGGAGCCCATGACAGAGACCGTGCTGGGGAAGACTGCGAAGCAATGGGGAGCCTGAAAACCTAAACCCTAAACCCTAAACCCTAAACCCTAAACCCTAAACCCTAAACCCTAAACCCTAAACCCTAAACCCTAAACCCTAAACCCTAAACCCTAAGCCCCTGCCCAAGGTGACGCCACCAGCTGTGTCTCGTCGCCCAACTGGTCCACTTCCATTGGCGCTGATTCAGTGAGCTGGGGGTGCAAGGTTTAGGGGATTAGTCGTTTGGGGTTTAGGGTTTAGGGTTTAGGGTTTAGGGTTTAGGGTTTAGGGTTTAGGGTTTAGGGTTTAGGGTTTAGGGTTAAACCCTAAACCCTAAACCCTAAACCAGCCCCGCCTCCATGTAAGTCTACTTAGCCCCCATAACCCACCTTATTAACCCTACTTACTAAGTCAAAAGCTTAGTAGCCGTTCGGGACGTGACGCGGGACGCGCGTCTGGGGACGCGGTCCGGGACGTGGCCGCTGATCCTCCTCAGGACGCAGCCTGCTCCAGGTCTGTAGAAAGCGATGCGGCGCTCGCGTGCGTTTCCAGGGGGTGGGAAAACGCACGGGTACTTGTGTTTTGAGTTTAGGGTTTCGGGGCTCGCTCCCACAGTTCGTTCCTTCCCCTCCCGTTCCCGTCCCCTCCCCTCCCCTCCCTTTCCCTCCAATACCCTTAGCTGTGTCCGAAAAGGCTCTGTGCATTTCGGGAGGCCTGGAAAATGCACGGGAGCTTTCGGTTTCTGGGTTCAGAGTTTGGGGCTTTGGGCCTCGAGGTTTTTGCACAGAGTGACTCCTGCCTAGCCCCGCAGGAACTTTCTAGGGAACCTCATGAGGACCCATTCCAGCTCTGCACTGTCCAAAAAGGCTCTGTGTGTTTCGCGAGGTGCGTTTTCCGAGGCTTTTGCACTGAGTGATTCCTGCCTAAGCCCCAAACTAAGGAACCTCATGAATCATGAGGTCACCTTGCAGAAGGCTCTGTGTTGTCCAAGAAGGCTCTGTGCGTTTTGGGGGGCCTGGAAAATGCACGGAAGCTTTCGGGTTCAGGGTTCGGGTTGAGGGCCGCAAGGACTGCGTGGGTTTTCCGAGGTTTTTGCACTACGTGATTCCCCCAGAAGCCCCCTAAGGAACCTCATGAGGACACCTGCCAGAAGGCTCTGTGCTGTCCAAGAAGGCTCTGTGCGTTTTGGGGGGCCTGGAAAATGCACGGGAGCTTTCGGGTTCAGGGTTCGGGTTGAGCCGCAAGGACTGCGTGGGTTTTCCGAGATTCTTGCACTACTACGTGATTCCCCCAGAACCCCCCTAAGGAACCTCATGAGGACACCTTCCAGAAGGCTCTGTGCTGTCCCAGCAGGCTCTGTGCGTTTTGGGGGGCCTGGAAAATGCACGGGAGCTTTCGGGCTTGGGGCCGCAGAGGACTGTGTGAATTTCCGAGGTTTTTCGCCCCCCAGGAACCCCCAAAGAACCTCATGAGGACCATCCAGAAGGCTCTGCACTGTCCGCAAAAGCTCTGTGCGTTTCAGGAGGCCTGGAAAATGCACGGAGCTTTCGGGTTCAGGGTGCAGGGTTTCGAGCGTGCGTTCTTACAGGGCCGGAAAACGCATGGGGACATTCCCTTTCTGTGCAGAGTTGCTCTTGATTTCAGGACGTGCGTGCTGAAGACGCAAGTTTCTAGGACGCGCGTGCTGGACGCCGGGACGCGCGTCCCGAGGCAGCTAAGGTCAAAAGGGCTGCCAAGTAGGGTTTAGTCTTCGAGGGTTGTTATACATGGTCCCTTACTATGGGCCCCCTAAATCGGGACCCCTTAGAAGCCCTCATATATATATATATATATATACCCTATAAACCCCAAGGGCCATAGTTCAGAACCCTTTGAAGGGGTAATGGACTTTACAAAGGTACCATGCATGTAAATACCCTTAAACCCTTAAACCCTTAAACCCTTAAACCCTTAAACCCTTAAACCCTTAAACCCTTAAACCCTTAAACCCTTAAACCCTTAAACCCTTAAACCCTTAAACCCTTAAACCCTTAAACCCTTAAACCCTAAACCCTAAACCCTAAGCCTAAAACCTAAAGCCTAAACCCTAAACCCAAAAACCCTGAACCCTAAACCCTAAGCTCTAAACCCTATTCGGGCCCATAGTTCAGAACGGTCCCTAACTGAGCAGCCGACCGAACACGATCTCACCCTCGCGGACCTGAGGCCTCGGCAATGGCTTCGAGGCTGCAGTCTCCGTTTCAGGGGGGCTGAACCCTAAACCCTAAACCCGAAACCCCAAACCCTAAACCCTAAACCCTAAACCCTAAACCCTACTAAACCCTAAACCCTAAACCCTAAAGGTTTGGAACTTACGGTTTGAGGGTGAGGGTTTCGGTGCCTAACCATAACCCCGACCCGCGCAAGAGAAGTCAGAATGCCTGGCCCATAGGGCTTCAGCAGAGAAGCAACTCACTTTCAGGAGATGATGAGGGCTTAGGGTTTAGGGTTATATAAGGGTTTAGGTTTAGGGTGTAAAGTTTAGGGTTTAGGGTTTAGGGTTTAGGGTTCAGGGTTTAGGGTTTAGGGTTTAGGGTTTAGGGTTTAGGGTTTAGGGTTTAGGGCAACCCTAAACCCCCAAACCCGAAACCGTCAACGGCAAACGATAGCTTAACAATGAAAAAGCCAATCGGATCGGGACACCCAGTCCAAGAGACTATACGACCATCCCATCTTTTAGGGTTTGGGGTTGAGGGTTTGGGGTTTGGAGTTTAGGGTTGAGGGTTGAGGGTTTAGGGTACAGGGTTTAAGGCTTGGGGTTTGGGGTTTGGGGGGTTGGGGCCCTAGTCCCCGTACTCAGGGTTAAGATTCGCACATGTTCTTCCATGGTTGCAAACGCAAACCCCGAAGCCCTAAACACCCTAAACCCCTAAACCCCTAGCCCTAAACCCTAAACCCTAAACCCTAAACCCTAAACCCTAAATCCTAAACCCTAAACCCTAAACCCTAAACCCTAAACCCTACTAGACCCTCTGATGTTGAACAAGCCTAGCTGGGGCCGGGGCCCGAGGGAGACGGCTTCGACCTGTTGCTTGGCCTCCCATGTTCTAGGGAGCTTTAGGGGTTTAGGATTGAAGGGTTTAGGGTTTAGGGTTTAGGGTTCAGGGTTTGGGGTTTGGGGTTTGGGGTTTGGGGTTTGGGGTTTAGGGTGTAGGGGTTTAGGGGTTTAGGGGTTTAGGGCTTAGGGCTTAGGGTCTAGGATTTGGGGCCAGGGTGCTTTTCAGGTCAACTTCTTGGGTTCAGGCCCCTAAACCCCAAACCTCTGATAGGAGTCCCCGGAACCCCGAAACACCCTAAACCCCCGAAACCCCCGAAACCCCCTAAACCCCCTAAACCCCCTAAACCCCCTAAACCCCCTAAACCCCCTAAACCCCCTAAACCCCGTAAAACCCCTAAACCCCCTAAACCCCCTAAACCCCCCTAAACCCCCTAAACCCCCTAAACCCCCTAAACCCCCTAAACCCCCTAAACCCCCTAAACCCCCTAAACCCCCTAAACCCCCTAAACCCCTAAGCCCCTAAACCCACTAAAAATAACCCCTAAACCCTAAAAAAACGAAAAAGGGAGTCGCACGCCTTGGGGGGCATGGCTCTGGCGCTTCGTCGGAATGGGGTGGCTGCCCAACAGATACAGGAACCCTCCGGAGCCCAGACACATCGGGTCGAGAGGAGGGTTTAGGGTTTAGGGTTAGGGTTTAGGGTTTTTGGTTTTGGGTTTAGGGTTTAGGGTTTAGGGTTTAGGGTTTAGGGTTTAGGGTCTAGGGTCTAGGGTTTAGGGTTTAGGGTCTAGGGTTTAGGGTTTAGGGTTTAGAGTCAAGAGGGTTTGGGCTTTGGGGTTTAG